TGGGTTCTGTTCAGGAACCAGAGGAGAACACTGGGTTCTGTTCAGGAACCAGAGGAGAACATTGGGTTCTGTTCAGGAACCAGAGGAGAACATTGGGTTCTGTTCAGGAACCAGAGGAGAACATTGGGTTCAGGAACCAGAGGAGAACACTGGGTTCTGCTCAGGAACCAGAGGAGAACATTGGGTTCTGTTCAGGAACCAGAGGAGAACACTGGGTTCTGTTCAGGAACCAGAGGAGAACACTGGGTTCTGTTCAGGAACCAGAGGAGAACACTGGGTTCTGTTCAGGAACCAGAGGAGAACACTGGGTTCTGCTCAGGAACCAGAGGAGAACACTGGGTTCTGTTCAAAAACGAGAGGAGAACACTGGGTTCTGCTCAGGAACCAGAGGAGAACACTGGGTTCTGTTCAGTAACAAGAGGAGAACACTGGGTTGAACCAGAGAACACTGGGTTCTGCTCAGGAACCAGAGGAGAACATTGGGTTCTGCTCAGGAACCAGAGAACACTGGATTCTGCTCAGGAACCAGAGGAGAACACTGGGTTCTGTTCAGAAACCAGAGGAGAACATTGGGTTCTGTTCAGGAACCAGAGGANGATAAACTCAGTTAGATGAGCTGTGGTGCGTTCAGGGGTCAGATAAACACAGTTAGATGAGCTGTGGTGCGTTCAGGGGTCAGATAACTTGGATGAACTGACCTGTAGAACCAAAGACCCCCTCAGAATCCCTCATCTCCTCGTTCATGCGGGCCATACGCAGCCTGAAACACACGGACAGGAACACAGAGCTGACCGGGTCAGAACCAGTGAGTCAGATCAGATCATGGTTCAACTGACCTGGCTGAAACAGCAGAGTGATGCCTCCTAACTTCACACACCATCTTTGATCAGGTCTAATGTCTCACTCACAGCGTGACGATGTCTGCGTTTGCTGTTTCCACGGCGATGGCCAGCGGGTCCCGCCCCGTCTCATCCACAGCGTACTGATTGGCTCCTCTCTTCAGCAGCAGACACACCTGTCTGAGTGGACCAATCAGAGTGAGCCATCTGGTTAGCTGTGTTAGCTCCCTGTGAACAGGTGTGTGATTACCCGGTGTGCCTGGCGGCGGCGGCGGCGTGCAGCGCTCCCCGCCCCCTCAGGTCTCTGTGGTTGATGCTGGCGCCGTTCTGCAGCAGGAACTGGCAGGCCAACAGTGACCCCTGCAGGCCGGGAGACAAACAGCCAGCGTCAGAGAGAGTCCAATCAGTCCAAACCTCTGGGACCGGGCTGACTCCACCTCACCCCCACCGCTGCTCCGATCAGCGCCGAGCGACCCTCCTCCTCCTCCACGCTACTGTTGACCTCTGCACCTTCAGCCAGCGCCGTCGCCATGGCAACAAGGTCCCCCGCCATCGAGGCCCGATACAGACGCAGACTGGCTCCTTCTTTCTGAGGCCCTGAGAACCAAGAACCCTGCTGCTCAGACCGTATACATAAACTACAGCAAGTACCGGTCCAAACTACAGCAAGTACCGGTCCAAACTACAGCAAGTACCGGTCCAAACTACAGCAAGTACCGGTCCAAACTACAGCAAGTACC